CGGAGAGCCAGTCAGACAGACGTGTCACAGCCGTAGTCAACGTCTTGCAAACAGTGTCCAGATCTGAATCAGAATAATCTAGCATGATGTCGTCCGCGAACTCCTGATGAACAGCAATGCAAGGTATGACGTCGGAAATGTCACTCGTGTAAAGGACAAAGAGAAGCGGCCCAAGAACACTGCCTTGGGGCACACCTCTTGAGCATGGGACTGCATCAGAAAGAGCCTCACACACCTTGACACGCTGAGTACGACCAGACAGATAGCTAGCCAACCATAACAATACTCTGCCATTGACTCCCATAGTGAATAGTTTATCAATCAGACGTTGATGTTGGACACGGTCAAACGCTTTTGACATGTCAACCATCACAATACCTGTGTATTTTCGCTCTTGTTTGGCCAACAGCCAACGGTTGGCGGCTAGAACTAATGCATCCTCGGTAGAGTGCATTTTCCTGTAGGCAAACTGACTGCTAGGTAATATGCTATGTTGCGTGAGGTATGCTGTGAGTTGCTTCTTTACAAAGAACTCCAAAATCTGGGACATAATAGGGAGCAATGACTCTGGTCTATAGTTAGTAGGGGATGTTGCATCGCCACTCTTGAACAGTGGACTAATGTGTGATGTTTTAAAACACACTGGCACAGTACCTGATGTCAAGGATGCATTGACTAGGGTGGTAAATGGAGGTGCCAGGGCATCTGAACACTGCTGCAGTACAATTCCAGGAATGTTGTCACTCCCAGATGCTTTGTGAGGACTCACAGTTTGCAAGCATTGTGCAACATCAGACACGCTTACCGGCTGAAATGTTGAGAAGCTAGATGCAGAGGCTGGACCATGTGGTATATGCAGCTCAGGTGGCCGCATAGGGTCATGCACAATGTCTCCAAACAGTTTACTTAGTGACTCAAGTGGCGCTTCAGGTTCTTTCCGTGTCTTCTCTCGGCCTGTGACATCGTTCATGACAGCCCAAAGTTGCCGTTGATCTGATGTATCACATCTCTTAGTGAAGTACAAGTTGCGCAGACTCCTGTCCAACTTCCGTGCTTTGGAGCGAGCTGATCGGTGTGCTTCTTGAAGGTTCTGATTGGTTTTGTCTCGGAGCCAGAGACGATGCGCCCGGTTCCGTTCACGAACACTTGCCACTAACTCATCTGTAATCCAGGGGCAAGGACGTCGAGATTTGCGGCGCCGTTCCCGGAGTGGAGCATGTTTGTCTAGAGTGGTCTGGATTCCCACAGTGAGTGACGACGCAAGCACATCCACACAGACAGAGTCACAGGTAGTTAGCGTCTTCTCCAGGTCACATGTAAACATATTCCAATCCACTTTGTGCAAACAGCGAGTCTTGCGCAGATGCTGTCCCTTCAAGTGGTGACTTGCTGAAATTGGCAGCCTGGCAAGTATTGCAGAGTGGTCACTGATATCCAAATGTATGGTCTCGCAAACACCCTGGATCGGGGTGGTAGACAAGAATAGATCCAGTAGTGTGGCAGTACTGCTGGTTACTCGGGTAGGAGATGTGACGTGGTTGCGAAGGTTAAAGGTTGAGTACGTGATGCAAAGGAGTCACAGCATGGGCATCATTAAAGTTTACGTTGAAGTCTCCTACTAGCACAGTTGTGGTCTGCGGTCCACTGCAGGCAGTCTCTAGGTTTGACTCCAGCCCACCCCAGTAGCCCGCAGATTCACAAGTTGGTCGATAGCAGCAGCCCAGTAAGACCATCTCATTGCCTGGTCGACCTGGGGCTAGAATCTCCAGCCACAGTATCTTCAGCTCACACTCGAGGTCACGTCTTCGACGGACTTGCAAGGACGTATGACAGTAGAAGGCAACACCGCCTCCTTGCCTGCCTTCCCGATCTTTGCGGAACACACTGAAATGAGGAATGTTTACTTCTCCGTCTGTTACATCGGCTGACAGCCAAGTTTCCGCAACGCCTAGGATGTGTACTCCACGGGTTGAGATAAAGTCTTCAATTTCTGCTACTTTTCTCCTAAGGCTACAGACATTTAAGAAAGCTACACTGGTCATGATCTAATACGATATGGTGAGTTCGCCAACTGTCATATGCCGGTCGTTGCTCTCGTTGTTACCCATGACCATGTCCTCCTGTTCCATGTCCGAGTCGGTCAGTAGCTCATTTCCTGAAAAGTCAACAAGTTTTTTTGGCACTCTGAAGGTTTACCGTCCCTTGGCCACCATAAAGCCTCCCTTGTCATCTGGAGGGCAGTGAGCAGTTCCCAGCTCCTTGTTAAGCTGGTCTGGTTTGGCTGATTCCTGACTAGGTGAAGAAACTTGAGGTGTCCCAGTTTCAGGTGCTGAAGCTGTACTGCTTGCTGACTGGCTTGTACTCACTGTTGGTTCTGAATTTGCACCCACTGTGTCATAGCTGTGGGTACTAAGTTTACGAATGTGGTACCAGTTGTGAAGGTGCAGCCTTCCACAGCCTTTGTTTCCCGCTTCGGAACACCAATGACGGATCCAAATTTCTCCATCGCGGACGTAAAGGCGGACAGTGGGGTGTCATCCGCCACACCAAATATATGCACGGACACAACTGCTCCATCACCAACTACTAATACTGGTTGTTTTTCTTCAAATTCTAACCCTCTGGACAACACCTCGTCCCTAACGGCAGTGCAGGAAAACGAAACTCTACAGAATCCGCGCCTTCCACTCAGATCCACCTGCTTGATATCATCAGGTCTTACACCACCTGACAGAAGAAGTCTGATGATAAAGGCATGATCCTTCGAGGACCACCCTTCATTCAGCTGAATGGAACAGATTCTAGCCATCTTTATAACAATTCTACACGCACTCTAGCCAGTTTCTGCAGAAAAATATATCACTATCGGAGCTCAAAAGTTTGCTTCCACTCCCCACGCGTTCGGACTTGGCACGCTTCACTGGCATGTCCCTGTCGCTGCACCTACTGGCTGTTCCAGACCACACTCAGTTCTCACAGAGATCAAGTCTCTACTTGCAGACACTACACCCTGACTCCACTATCCCCAGGTTCCGCAGGTACAAGACCAGTTTTTCTCTCCCAGTCGTCAGTAACATTTTTATCTGGCGACTGGAGACGAAAAAATAGATATCGTTCCAACTGCCACTCAAGTGGATGCACTTGAACTTGAGAGAAGCATGCCACTTATTTATTTATTTATTTCACCTTCCCGTGGCCAGCGAATAAAGGCCAATATAAAGGCCAATATGGAGGGAGGGGGCGGCAGAGAGCCATGGCAGTAAACAAAAATAAAGCAAAATAATTAAATATTACACATAACTGGAGGTAAAGAGAAACAAATCTGGATGAAGAATTAGCAGTTAGTAGAATACGAGCTTCATGTTGAAATCTTGAAATCTTTTAGCGTACAAGACGATTTTACTGATAGAGGCAGGGCCAGCCAGAGAGAATAGGCAGCGAAAAACGGAGATCTGGTATAAGCTGATGTTCAGGCTTCAGGTAAAGTGCAGGGATTGCGCGTAGGGCGGGTGGGAAGAAACCAGCTATATATTTACGCACGTGTGGCGGGGCTTTGTCAAGACGAATAGAATGAACAACAATACACAGTTTTCGATCTGCTTTACTAGAGATAGGGAAGGTGTTTAACATATCATACAGCTCGGCAGAAGGAAAGTGTGATGGTTTGCGGAAACACACTTTGAGTATCCTTTTATTGTGGACTTCCAGGGTACTCATTTACGATTTATTTAGTAGGGAAGACCAGATGGTTGAGCAATAGAGAAAAATGGGGAGAATATAGCAAAGATAAAAAGGCGAATGCATTCAAGCGGTAGGTGGGAGCATGGGGACACGAGGTAGCCAACAGCTTTACTGACTTTGCTACAGATGTAATCGGCATGTCTACTAAACGATAAGTCTTGGTCAATTACCAAACCAAGATGCTTGTGTTTTTTGCCACTGAGAGGTCTGTGAGGGATCCGGGAAGACTGAATGCATAGGTTGGCTCTGAGTTCGGCAGGAATAATATCTCAGTCTTGGCGATATTAGGTCTAAGTCTCAAGGTAGTCATCCACTGATAGACTTACCTGCGCTCTGAGACTGGTACATGTATCACTGGAAGCTGGCTCTGGACGATCTTTTGTCGTCTTCACTGGCAGGCGAGACTGAGAAATAGCATATCTGAGTTAGAAGTAAGAACTACACGACCTGAAGAAGATCGAACATGCTTTGTTTTGGACAACGTCTTCTGAAGCTGGAGCCTGAGCGCCAACGAAAACAGCCACGCCTATTGATAACTACAAGTACTTGACACGAAGCTCCGTAGCTCCATCGCCGACATCCAGCAAACCAAAATGGAAAATACAAAACGTTCGAACTATTCAAGGACTCCAGTATCTTTGATTTCTCGCAAAATAAACTTTTCAACACGACTACTTCTCGCAAATAAACTTTCTCCAGCCGCGGACAAAATGTTTTCAAACACGAAATTTTGCATAAAATAATGCCCACATTTGGATGCACGCGCAGAAGTACTGAGCCCCCTTGAGCACGGCTTGAAGGTCTCAGATATGAAATGCGTTGCCCGGTATACATGTATGTCGAGGACGACACTGGTAAGAGCATTAGACAAAACGGGTCACCACAATACAAGTTTGCGGAGCAACATATCACACCACTTGTGTGGTTCTAAAAGCGCCATCTCCATTCGCCATTGTCGAGCAATGTAATCGCATGAGCTAATTGAGAAGGAACTGGTGTTGTTAGTGGATATTATAGCGTAACTTGTAGCTCTTTGGTCTTCTTCTCCGCATATAAATTACTGATATTGCTTTGCTTTGCTTTTCATCCTAGTCCATGCTTTGCATTTCGTTATACATTGCGTTGCGTTGCACCCTTTTTCTGTTCCACCTTTGTGATCTTTCCAATAAAGGTTTTAGATATTTCGGAGTTTTTTCAAATTGTTTAGGGTCCGGGATCGAGAAGTTTATTTGATTGCGCTTTTGTGTTGTTACGTCCAGGTTTATGCGATGACATTGATGAATGTAGCACAGGTGATGTATGTGGATCTAGCACAAGCGATTGTGTAAACCAGCCGGGAAAATATACATGCACATGCAAAGTTGGGTACATCAAAAAAGGAGATAATGACTGCACCGGTAAGGGCCCTACACACTACGTACATGTAAAACGCAACTTACGGTGCCCATGCGCCAGCCTGATCAAGTGCAGTTGCACACTGACAGGTGATCTGCTTTTTACGTAAATGTGCAGTTCGGATGAAAAGTTCTGCTCTCAGAACGAGTGCTGCGTGTGCTTCTTCGATTTCGTTCTGCATCTTGTGTTGCAGCCATGCCCATGGAGCTCAGGTTGACTCTGGCAAGGAGAAAGCGGCGACGTAAAATTGTTGCCGCCATGATATTGTAGGACATGCAGAAGCTAGTGAAGTCGTCTGATGGCGGTCCTGTTCTTGATATTCTCTAGATGACGGATCACAGTAGCTAAAATGTTGTGGTCACGACGATGCTCAGCTTGCTGTTGCGGTGTTGTCAAACCACAAGTTCTCCAGAGTGAAAGGCCTTCTCGCTTGTGACATTGTGTTCGTTCCAATGCAGTTGTATCCCGACTTCGCCGTACCGCTGATGTTTTCGACGTGGTATACGCTACAGACGCTAGGTGTGGTTTGCTGTGTGCGCTGTAGTTGTATGTTGTATGTGTAGACTTTTCTCATATACGCTGTCATTCTCACGTTATAACTACCTGGTGGTTTTAGTGTTAGTTAGTCATTTATTCAATTGTTATTAGTCGATGGAAGTGAAATATACTGTTGAGAATAAACAGTTGTCCTCACGCCGTGTGGGGTTGTTCGTTCCTGATACTTTAGAGAACCAGAGGGTTCACAACATTTGGCGACCACGCCAGGATACGAAGCGAGCATGGCACAGGAACTATGGATCATTGAAGCCAGCTTTATCGCTAGCAGAATTCGGTATGGATTTGAAGGCGATAGGTTGAGAGAATACGTGGAGAAGAGGCTCCGAAAGAGCGAGGAGTTTGAAGAGCGCAGTGCTAGACGGCAAGAGGGTGCGCTCCGCACAGAGTTTGACGAAAAGCTCAAGAATATGAACGAGCGCATCGCCAGCAGTAAATATGAGGGAGCAAAGCGAGATTTGCTTGCCTCACGCGAAAGGACGCCGGACAAGGCGTGGAAGACTTTGCTTACAGACAAGCAGTGGTCAGAGGAGTATTCGAAGCCAGTGGGAGGATCAGATCCAAGGCCCACTGCGTCGGAGCAGTGCATGGCGACATCGGTCGGAGACGCTCAGAAGCAGCTGGAGTCTCGGCCGAAGGACGTAGAGGCGCAAGACGTAGAAGCGCATTACGTACAGGCGCAAGACGTAGAGGCGCTGTAACAGTCCAACTAACTTCAGTAGTCATTCTTGGAATAAGCTATGATCCTTGCCATAATGCATTCTTATATACATGAACAAGCAATGATGGACATAACACCTAACAGCAGCAGCGTGATAATAGCAGGTGATAAGTGTATCCTATTCCAAGTGTTAGTAGTAACAGTGAATCTGTTACACCATTCCCCCCTCTCAACTGTCAGAACAGTACCAATTCGAAGGAACAGTTATGGTAACTAATGATCATGCATGGATATGTGGAATGCATGGTAGCCGAAAACAACACTGATGAACTCAAGATCCAGTGCATGTCCTCTGCAAATAACGCCTGGCTGGCAGGGAAGCACCATTCTTATCATGCAGAATGCTACATTTCTATTGCAACACGTAGAAACTAGCAATACAACTGTGGCTGCCAATTAAATAGCAATTTTATGAAAAACGGTCCAGGTAGGTTTTCAGCGGAATAATAGCGTTTCCTGCTTCATCCATCAAGTATTCCTTTGGCTCCCAGGTGGCATCTCGGTAGCCCCTCCATTTCACTAGGTACTGCGTGCGCCGTCCTCTCTTCTTGTGCGACAACACCTTTTCGACAATGTACCGCGTATGGCCATTCGCATTGGTTAGGGGTGGAGGTGCCGGCTGAGTACGGCCCGGTATCTCATTGCCATGGTACAGCTTGAGGGCAGCAATATTGAACACTGGATGGGCCCGAATGATTCTTGGAAGAGCTAATCTGTACGCATTCGAGGCCACTTTCTTCTGCACCTTGAACGGCCCATACCACTTGAGCCTTAATTTGTGTGAAGGCCTGTCTCGTTCCTTGGGCGTCAGCAGGAAGTCCCTGAAGACCAACACCTCATCCCCCTCCTTCAGGGCGTCCTCCACCCGTCCTCGATCCGCATACAATGATTGCCGGGCCTGCGCCGCCACGATGGCATCCTGTGCCTCACGTAGTGCCTCTACGCGGCCATCCAGCCATGACAGCGGACCATTCGTGTCCATGCCAGCTCCAGGTTTCTGCTTCGTCAATAAGCTCGAGGGAGTAACTGGATGGCATCCATGGTTGAGGAAAAATGGCGTGTTACCTGTTGACGCTTGATCGGCATTGTTGATCGCAAACTCACATAGCGATAGGAGTTCATCCCAATTGTTTTGCCTATGGTTGACGAAAGCTCTTAGCGTATCCTCAATGACACGGTTCACACGCTCAGTCATGCCATCGGTCTGCGGGTGGTTGGCCGTGCTCATTTTTAGCTCCACGCCAAGAATACTGAAAACCTCCTTGAAGAACGCCAACGTGAACCGCGGATCTCGGTCACAAACTATCGTTTTGCTCACGCCATGGGCAGCAAACACATGATCCACGTACAATCGGGCTGCCTCCTTAGAGTCAACATGAACAGTCGTCGGGATCAGGTGCACATACTTCGTCAGACGGTCCACAAAGGTTAGAATGGCGCTATGTCCTCGGCAGGTCAGCGGCAGTGCCATGATGAAATCCATGCTGATGTCTGTCCAGGGCTGTTCGGGGACTGGAAGGGACTGCAACAGTCCTGCCTTGGTCTGGCTACCCTTTACGCGTTGGCACCGGTCGCAAGATTTAACGAAGTCCTTCACAGTACTTCTCATGCCTGGCCAATAGAAGCATCTGCTCAGCTTCAGGTAGGTCCTGTCTCTCCCCTGATGGCCGGCCGTCAGGCAATCATGATTCTGTTTGAGCAGTTGCAGGCGTACCGGACCGCGAGGAATGCAGAGGCGAGCATCGCCCGATGTTACTAGGTACAGCCGCCGGTCCACACTGTTCCAGACGTATCGCTCATGCATGGCGTCTTCGCTGCAAGCCATCAAGCGCTTGATTACTGGCGAAAGCTCTGGGTCACTATCATACCCTGCTGAGATCTGATTCGCAATTCCTTGATTCACATCCAGAGAGAACTCGATTCCATTCAGTTCCAAGTCTGGTCGACGTAACAACGGGTCTGCTATGTTACACTTCCCTGGCTTGTGATGTACCGTGTAGTCATAGTCGGCCAGGAATTCAATCCATCGAGCCTCTCTCTTGGTTAAGTTTGGTTTGGTCCTGAGGTAGACAACTCCCATGTTGTTGGTGTAGAGTTGAAAGTGGCGAAATAGGTAGACTCGCCAGCACTGCAGGGCGTACACTACAGCCAAAGTTTCTCGCTCGGCGGCCGTGTAATTCCGTTCGGCAGAAGACAGCTTTCGGCTCACGTAAGCCACAGGATGCCAGGACTGGTCCTCTGCTTGCTGCGTTAAGACTCCTGCCACAGCAAAGTCACTTGCGTCAGTCTCAACGCGGAAATCCTGACTGACGTTTGCTAGTCGCAACACTGGTGCATCCAGCAGAGCAGACTTCAATCGCTCAAATGCCTCCTGTCGAGTCTGATTCCACTCGAAGCGCACATGTTTCCCTGTCAGTTCCTCCAGGGGTTTGGAGATGGCCGAGAAATGGTTAATGAACCTTCGAAAGTAATTAGCGAATCCCAGAAACTGTCTTACGTGCGTGACCGTCGTCGGGACAGGCCAGTTATGCACGGCCTTGATCTTCTCTGGATCTGGAGAAATGCATTGGCCGTCTATCCGGTGCCCAAGAAACAGAACGTCTGTCCGGCCGAATTCACATTTAGACGGTTTGCAATATAGCTCATTCCTCCTGAGGGCGTTTAAGATGGTTCTGACATGATCGAGGTGCTCCTCCCATGATTTGCTGAATATGAGGATATCGTCTAGAAACACCACAACGAATTTACGCAGGTATGGCTGGAGGACACTGTTCATCAAGGTTTGGAATGTTGCCGGGGCATTTGTTAGGCCGAAACCCATCACTGTGAACTGAAAGTGACCGAATGGGGTATTTATTGCTGTCTTCGGAATATCTGTTTCTTCTATTCGAATCTGATTGTAACCGGACCTCAGATCTAGCTTGGTGAAATACGCACTGCCTTGGACGGTATCAAAGAGGTCGTCAATATTCGGTAGGCATGCCTTGTTCTTAATGGTTATGCGGTTTAGCTCACGCCAGTCGCATACCATTCGAAGTGTTCCATCCGCTTTCTTTACGAAGAACACAGGGGCTCCGTATGGGGATTTGCTGGGCTGAATGAATCCTCTACGGAGCAGCTCGGTGAGCTGAGCTTGAAGCTCATCCATCTCTGGTTTTGGTAAACGATATGGTGCACGAGATGGCGGTTTAGCTCTTTCTTCCGTTTTTATCTCGTGATCTGCGCCTCTTCTGGGTGGCAGCTTGTTTGGAAGCTCATCGGGAAAGACGTCCCCGAACTCCTTCAGCAGGTCCTTGAAATCCTTCTGATCCTCCCTACCCGGACTATCCACCGTCTGTGGCTCGTCCGGATCTGCTGTCACATACGCTAGGATTCCTTCTGCGCCACCTCTCATTGCATGCCTAGCCTGCTTCCCTGAGATGAGGAACGTCTCGATCGACGGGTTGGATTTGTCCGTGCCATCACTTTCACTCGGTTGACAGATGATGGATCCACCCTAGGCACCGGCGGATTATGCTAGTTATATGAGGAAATTGTGCTACTAGCACTGCTAGTTATTTGGAGCGATTATGCTAGTTATAATGCTAGCAGTGCCGATAGTGCTACGAAAATGTCAATCCATACGGTGGGAAATAATGACTTCCCTATGCAGTCATTCGGAATATGGCAGTATCACAGGACAACTCCAGACCTGCCAGACTCTTTGCCAGTACATGGAAGCGAACA